GTTGGAATATATTCTTTTATTGAACATAGTTTTAGTAATATTACCTACAATTCTAATACAGTATCTATCCTATACAGGTTATGTGTTTTTTCAGTTGTTCATTAATACATTAAAGCTTAACCATACAAAAAGATTCTTTTTCGCAACGAGATCATTAAAACAGGAACTACATATTATACATTTTTTACTCAAAAGTCTTAAACTGTATGACTATTATTCAGACTTACCAAAAATTGCTAGAACTATTGTTAGATAAAACTTATTTGAATGAGCAACAAAAAATATGATATGGGGTTTAAATTACTTTGAAACAACAATGTTTCAAAATTTTTGACCTCACGCGGAAAGCCCCTTTGTTGTTGAATATAAATGAATGTTGGATTTTCAATCAGAACTGTTTTCACCTCCACGAACATGGGTTTCTAATATAAATTATGCTTTTTAGGAAGTTATAATCAACCTTTTTTGAACAATGCGTATTATATATTATTGATAACAAAATATATTTCAATTTGAAATAAATTTAAATCTTAAAAGATGGCTACCAAAAAATTTATAGATAATTAATTTTCAATTTAATTGTATCAAATTTAAAAAAAACTATCCTTTTTTATAATCTAATTTTCTAGCTGATCCGGTGAATTTTGTACCGCCCTATAATCAAGAAATCTCTATTACCTTTTTATCTGAATGGAGTTAATTTCTTTATTAAGTATAACTGACCCGACAGACAATTCTTAACTGTGATTATTGAATTCTAATTGGTATATTAATAAATCAAATTTATTCCAAAACAAAGTGTTTATTATTCTTATGCTTTATGAAATACAATATTCTCAGTTTTATTTTCTGGCGCGTATCTACTCGTAAATAGTATTGTTGGTATTCCGACACGGGAACAGGCGACATAGAACTGGCCATGTGAAAAACATGAAATAAGAATATACGATAAAAAAATCGCGTTTCTTATTTTTAAAATTAACCTTTCAGAAGTCATATATTCTTTGTAAAAGCTGTTTGAAGTGATTCATAAGACCTTCGCTTAAAATTTATTATAAATAAACTCTCCTGCGGAGCACTAATTAGTCTTTTTGTTATTAATTATAGTATATAACAGAAAAAAAAGTTTAAGCAAATTTACAATAATAAATGATTTAAACGAAAAAGAATTACTCAATATTTTAAAGATGTATAACTTAATGTCGTAAAAAGATATTTGTTGATATAATTCCAAGTAATAAATATTAGACAATACTATGGAGTAGGCAACTTGTTGAACACACTTAAAGATACCCTTCACAAAAAGCCTTCTCTTATATTTATCTCAGATTTTCTTAATTGAAAAAGGTAGCAGAAAAGAAAACTATTACATAAATGTACTCACAGCTATCTCTGAGACCAGACTATTTCAATTGTGTTAGTCCAAAAAATATGTTAATAATAGGATTTTCACTAAAGTAAATAATATTCTGTCTGCTGAATTTATGTAGTCGTTATTAGTTTTCGGAAAACCTTTAGTGTATAATCGAAGTCATCGAAGATCAATGTGAAGTAAAGAAAAAATGTAAATATTTCAAAATATCTTTCCAAAAAACATGAATATTATTTAACCTTTGGACCTTTGATCCCACTACATATAAATTTTTTATTAGAGTAATTGTCAATTTTAAGTGTATACTACATATACTGATTTATGGGATAAGAATCATGAAACAAATTTAATTCAGTATTTATTTATTTAAGACATTGATCTAGGCACAAAAATACAGCGGGATATTTGAAAACATGAAATTCTCAATGCTATATGACGAATATAAATTCGAAGGCGAGTCTGGATTGGTACTGAATAATAATCAAGCTCATTTTATCTACGCAAAATCAATTAAAAAGTTTACCCACTAAGTAATCAAAACTTTTAAGAAAATAGAATTATTTATCTATCTTAGACAATCAACTTTAAGTAAATAAATTTTCGTTTTATTAAGGAATTACATTCACTTTAATATGTTTAAGTGAGACGAGTCCAGAACAAACGTCGTGTAGTAGCAGGTGACACATGATTTAACAGTTCGTTCTAGTTCGAAGTTCAGTTTTACAACCTCTTTAAAACGTGAACTTCTTATTTTATTATGTGTACAACCAGCACTTTACTCCCATAATTCCATTTCACTGTAATTAATTGAGGCAGTAAGGTAAAATTGCACTAAAACAAGCACAATCTAAAAAATTTTATCAAAGCACCCGTGAAAGTTCATGAGATTTTTTTTATTTGGACATAATAATTGTTTTCACTTAATTCATGAATTCATTTTCTTACTTATCCAATATTTAACGATGGCAGACTATCAATCGCAATATTAAATAAGAATCATTCAAATATCATTTTAGACTAAAGCCATAATGTTCAAAAAAACCATATAGCGAAAAAGTTGCACTATACTTTATGTCTGCACGTTTTGCTTTTTTTATATAAGTAGGCTATTTCATGCAAAAATTATGCTTTTAATTCAATATCAAATATTTTTTAAATATTTTTAATTATAAAACTATAACACATATTTTTTAATACATTCATAACTAGTCATAAAATCAATAAATGATATATTTTCAATCAAACGGCTATTGTTGTTAAAATTTTTAACACTGTGTAAAATACGTGTTTATTCCATCAGTTTCCTGAAACAATTTTTTCATAAAAATCATTTTGTTTACAATATGACATGACATATTAATAATGCACCCGTACCTCATGTTTTATATTTTTGTATACATTTTTTAAAACATGAGCGTATTATTAGCATAATGGACCAAGATATTTTATTTTATTTTGTTTTTACGGTTCACAAAACAGATTATAACTAAATATACAATTAATTGGCAGGTAAATATTACAAATAAGCTGAGTTATAACCCAAACTATGTGAACACAGATTGTAAACTAAATATTTCACTTTAAAAAAATACATCAGCACTTAAAAATACGTCCAGATATAAGAAAATACACTTACAATAAATAAAAAGAATTTTACACGGAAAAATATGAACAAGTTACAGCAATAAAAATATAATCTTCTATATATATAAAAATGGATTGCTGTTCCTTAGTCTCGCTAAAGCTCGAGAACAGCTGAACGGATTTACCTTATCTTAGTCTTGAAATGTTCGTGGAGGTTCAGGGAAGGTATAAAAGCTGAAAAACATTGATTCATCACTGGGAGAATCATAAAAACAGCCCTTTTCTATTTCCCATACAAACGTTTTTTTTTTGACATTAGATTTGACAACTAACTAATATGTCAATCATTCTGTCACACTTCAAAACACGGAGATTTATGGCTTACAGGTAAACTCCAACAATATAAATAAAAAAAACGTAATGGATATTTCTTGATTATAGGGCGATACGAAGTTCGCCAGGTCTTCTAGTGATAAATAAAATGAAATTTTAAACTGGTGAAGTGATGAACTAAATAATTGATAAGAAAATAGATTCAATCATTATCTTTGGCCGTTAACTGAAACCAATTGTTTTTTAAATAGATTTAGGTTATTGTTGAAAATGTCAATACTATCAACCGCGTCGTTTTCAAGAAAAACCTTGTTATATGCGCGACACATAGTACGTCCGATAGGATTATGATATGATATATTATAATTGTAAACATCCAGGGTAAATATATACCGATATATTATATTGTTGCATGTGGTTTCCTATGCCTATATTCTAAAAATGGATGATCTTAATTTCAACTTCGCTGGAGAAGCAATATAAGCGACATTCATTGTAAAAATTACTTAAGACGATCCTGTATCGATATACTTATTTATTTTTTCTAAAATATTAGAACAGTTATTTTAGATCTAAAATATATTTGATATCTAAAATATATTGAAAAAAAAAAAACATTCACAACTTTTATATTGATGAATGTTTTTATAAAATTTCAATAAAAAAATGAAAAAAAAAACGGGTGTGATTCAAATGTTTCGCGTCCTAATCAATTTGTCAATTAGATTAACGTAAGGTACGTTTTGTTCTGTGTAGAAAATATAGCCGAATTAAAATATAATAAAAATTATATTATTAGAAAATATGAAATGATAAGAGATTTTGTTTAGATATCTGCCGATCATGTAATAGTATGTAAATATTTTGAAAACAGTAGAAATTCTGGAGCGATAAAAAAAATCAAAATAAATTGTCTATTCTTATAAATAGAATTTTAAATACGCCTAAAGAAATTGATTATTATCGTTAGGCGGTCAATGCATTTCTACGGTTACGGAAAATGCACCATTTAAATTTCTCGGTCGTAAGATAGATAATATAGGCCGTACTCCATCTTTAGAAGGAATAGTAGATAGCTTTTTGAACGATCTTAACAAGGTAGATAGCCAACTGATAAGTAACGTCAAAAAAGCGTGGATCTACGAGAATTACTTAACTTCACGTTTGAATGGGCCTTTCCTCGTCTATGATTTTAATAAAACCCCTTTTGTCAAAGTTAGATGCAGGCGTCATAAAGATGTTGAAGTTGTGGCTCGGGCTCGCTCTAACGGCTGATTCATCGGCGTTATTTAGGGGAAGCAATAGTTTTGGGATGAGTCTAAAAAGGCCATCGGAGCTCTATAAACACCTAAGAGTTTCCAAGAGATATATCCTGGGGAAATCCCATGATGACATAGTGACATCGCTCCCAAAAGATGAAGATGCCCCCGAGCTAGAGTCACGACTTCAATTCCATAAGCAATTTATGATAGGAGCGCAAAGTAACAGAGCGGGGTTAGGATCAAATAGGAAAGTCCAAGATGCGGATATATTGAAGTCTTTTATTCGGCAAGACGAGAATGATAAATATAAGATCCATGCAATGAATTTAGAAATGCAGAACTAGTGGTTAGACATAGGAGATTTTTGCATCCCATTAGCATTAAAATGGCGCACTTTAATTTATGATTGGTCGCCAGCATTGCTAAAATTCTATCTCAATGCGTTCCAGATGACTCTCCCAGATCAGAGTAATTTAGTAAGATGGGGTAAAAGTACCGAAAAAACTTGCTATATCTGTGGAAAGGCAGTTGGAACTGCTAAGCATCTGCTGGTGGGATGTAAGGTACTCCTTGACAGCGGTCAATACTCGCGTCGTCACGATAGGGTTCTAGAAGTCATACGTAAAGCGGTTAGTCTTTCGGTAGCCAGAGCGCAAAAGGGAATAACCACAAACGAACGATCAGTAGGTTTTGTGAGAGAAGGCTCTAGGGCTACAAAATCAAACGTCAAGCCTTACTCCATCCTTAAAGCGGCGTCGGATTGGACTATAATGATGGACACGTATGAAAAACAATATAAAATCCCCGAGGATATTTGTGCGTCGGCCTCCAGACCGGATATATTTTTGTTTTCGCGAATTTTAAAGCGCGTAGTGATGATAGAGCTTACGGTCCCTTGGGAAACCAACATCCCCAAAGACCATACCATCAAGGTCAACAAATATTACGAGCTCACAAACGAACTCACTCGAAATAGGTTCGTAGTAGATTTGTACGCGGTAGAGGTGGGAGCGAGAGGTATAACAGCGAAATCTCTCTATAACCTACTAAAGGACTTGGGCTTGTCCAGAACTCACATTAATGCATTCTTGGAACGTACATCGAAGGCAGCCCTAGTAGGTTCTTTTCAAATTTGGTTAGGTAGGGAGAGGAGCTTGGACAGTGGAGGTGAGCGTATAACTCGCGTTAGTTAAGGGGCCCCTTAAACGTACACTTGGGTCGCAAGTCCCAGGCACTGTTGAAGCTCCTCCCCCTGCAACGCGATGGACCCGGCACCCGCACGGTGAATCCATGGAATGCTGAGAAGTTTCGTCTTAAATATATTGCGTCTTTATTTTCTTACACCAAAAGTCTAATGTTTTTTATTATATTTTAACGTCTGCTTTTGAAGCATATGGTATTGAAACAAAATGTTCATACTTCTTTGACATTATAGTTATACACAATCTTATGAGTAGTCCTCTGTGACGGTAACTGACAAACGCATTCGTATTTTGTTATGTAACAAGTCATTAGTTGAAATTTTCAAATAATTCACAATATAATGTCCATGATGACTCGGAACTCTCTTATTTTATAGAAACTTGATAATACACAAAACATATGACTGATGTAACTTATCATTTTATTGTTGTCCTAAGATTGTGATAATTTCTTTTTATTACCAATATGATATATTTTACTTAACAGCTCATATGAAACACAGCATCTACTTAAGCCTTTTATAACGAAAAGAACTTATTTTAAAATTTATGCTGATTTTAAAAGACCGTTTATTGCAGTGAATTAGCATTTTTTATTAAGAAAATAAAAAATGAAACGTCCAGCACTTTACTGGACGAGAATAAATCATTCACAAAAAGTGACTTATAACTGTGATGTTATGTTACATCTTTAATCATTTAAATACAATAAGTATTTGGAAACTGAATTTAAATCAGATATTATTTACTACAAATAAAAATTTTACACCAATAATAACTATAGCATCTTGTTTATATCTCTCTTGTTAAATAGGCAAGGAGTACTCAAGAGTCAGGTATAGTTATACTAAATTTAGACCTAGTTTATACAATTATCAAAGCTTCTAAAGATTTCATTTTTATCTATAGACATATAGAATCGTATAATCAGAGCGATAGTTACAAACTTATACATTACTGCAGTAAAGAGTGACCTGGATTTTATGTTCTATCTCATGATGTGTTTAATTTGTAATATTATCACCATTATTTGTCAGAAAATACTTCATGTTTTCGCGAAGCTGTAATTCTTACTTGCCTATGTTATATCGTAAGCTAAACTAATTTTCCTTATTCTTACTTGCAGGAAAAATACTTTCTTTTCCCAAAGGTAACGTTATTAATGTTAATAGTAGAGGAATTCGATGATTACTTCATTTGGAAGCAACTCGTATCTGGTAGTAATATAAAGTTATAACAAGCAAATTGTGTATGCAAGCGGTAAATGCAGCTAGAGGAATGTTAGTAGTTGTTAACTTTATATGTTTAATCATAAAATTAATTTATTTTCATATTATTGAATAAAAATTTCCTTTAACGTTGTTTTCAATATTTTTTCATATAATTTGTCTTGTCGATTTTTAGATAGGTATCATTTATAGACGATCATCATCATCAGCCTATCAGAGTCCACTGCTGAGTAAAGGCCTCTTCTCACACGGAGAAGGTTTGAGCATTAATCACCAAGCTTGCTCAAGGCGGGTTGGTGATTTCAAACTTATAATTGTGAAATTATAAGTCCAGGTTTCCTCACGATGCTTAGGAAAACAGTATGAAGGATCATCGTCTATCAGTGGTGTCTAAATACTCTTAGAAAGTACTTACGACTCGGAAAAATCGCATTGGTACTTGTCAGGATCGAACCCGTGCCTTCGAGCACGAAAGGCGGGCCTTTCACCACTGGGCCACCACTGACTTATAGAGGATAAGGGACATTTTTTCATGGTTACTTTTGCGTCATGGTACATAAAAAAATGTTATACGGATGAATAAAATACTAATGAATTTAATAAAACGTCACTGAATTGATTTGTATTAAACTGATATAAATAAATGCATAAAAAATATCAAAAGTCTACACAATAAAACTGAAAAATTGGTTATCAATATTCAATATTTTTTAGTTTGGTTTAGAAGTAATGTTCTAGATTATTAAAATACATATTTATTAATTTCAAAATAGTAGTTTTATACATTTTTAAGAACTGTGGTTGATCTTAATTTTAATATGGCAATTTATATTAAATAACGCACAAAATTGTGTTTATATATAAAAGCACTTTTTTATAATGTTTTACTTTGTGAAAGTAAAATAGAGCTCAGAATCAAATTCAGAAGCATATTAATATTAATAAAGATTTATTTTCCGTTTTTAGCATTAATTTTAATAAAATTTGTTTTATAAAAAAGGTATGGTTTTTATTAAAATATTTATCAGGAATTTCATATATTTTCACATTTTAGTAATAAAAAAGGTATCACCAACAATTTTTATTAACAATAAAATACTTCAAAACAAGAAGATCTCACCAAACGTCTTAAGACCTGTTTATGACAGAATTAATGCACGCATTTCAATAGAAGATCCATTGAAACGACAATTGTCCTTAACTGAAAACGATATGCCGTCGTGAAATAAAGTTACATAACAAAATATATCTTTAGAAACATTTCAGATTCTTTTGTTTTACTTCTCTATTTTTTTATGAAAAAAAAAAATTACGCTTTTATAATATATTTAGGAGCTATTTACTCTTACATATAACGCGACATACATACATACATTCTAAAAATGAAAAGACAGGAAGAAGTTGTCACTGACGCTGTAACTCAGCGATTTTTCTTAAAATCGATAGCAATTTCTTAGGGTTCTAAAATAAAATGCTTTGAAGTATATAAAACAAAAATATGATAAAAATTTATTAAAAACCACTCAAAAACAATAATATTCTACCAGTTTAGATATCATTAAATGATTAGAATGTAGCTTACATACATTTCAAAAATCGTAAATCAATCACAGTGAAATTATTCAGATATTAGTGAACAGTGAATGTGAATATTACCGTAGCAGCAAAACATTTATCATCATAAACTGAGAGCATCTCATTATTCATCTGAACTCAACACTGTACGGTTGGACTTTGAAAATTTTAATCTAAACGGCGTCTATTAGTAACGTGTCACTGATCCTTTGAATTATTTGTATTTGCTATTACGTTGTACAAAAAAAATATTTGTATATTGAAATCGTTCTCTCTCATTTTGATTAACGTTTGTTTTTGATGTTATTTGTAAAATATTTTTGTAACAGTGATTTTAAAACATGTTCTAATGTTTTGAATATAACTCGACTACTCTATTTATTGAGCTTAAATATAAACTATCTATTAGCATTTTAGTTGAAAGGATTCTCTGTTTATTCAAGTTTGCTAAGGTAATTTTATAACCAAACAACTTAACACACGAATATCACCAAATACATTTTATGCTAAAATATTATAGAATACTATACCTTGGAACCCAATTTATAGTTTGTTTGTGTATGTGAAATGATTTAAAAGATAAAAATATCATAACAAACTTTTTAATTTTTTAATTTTCATATATCAAAAATTCTTTTGGAAACATTCTCTTTCGTAGAGTTTATGATCTGTTTTTCATAATTTAAATTAATTTATTAAAAAAAAATTATATATTCCCAAAAAATACAAGTGCAAGTCGATTTGATAATTCTTAATTAATAAATAACACTTCAATAAAGTGTAAGACCAATTAAAACAGTAATTATATTATATGGCAAAATAAATCCCTATATATATATATGTTTCTGTATCCATCTGTGAAATATTTTAACGTAATAAACAAGCAAGCATTTTAACATCGTACCCTCTAACGTATTGGATTTCAAACAAACTAATTAAAGCGTAAAGTAATAACCAATACATCGTGCCCTGCCTTCTGTCGAACACAACACAAACACAGGATTGGTTTTAAATTTCTTTTAAGATGGTTTGGTATATTTCTTTGTTTTTTTCATTACTTCTATTTATGTCTTATTTTTCTCATTAAAAAAAATGATTCCATGACCGGAAATTATTCGAGTGACGACAAACAAGTAGGAGGGTGATTGTTTTCTTTCTAATATAAATAGAAGGCCTTCTAGTGTCAATGTAACTCTTAATGTTAAAAGGTTTATAAAGTAATGTTCTTATCTTTTGATGAAGACGTAGACGTCTTAAAAATACAATCTTCTATATATATAAAAATGGATTGCTGTTCCTTAGTCTCACTAAAACTCGAGAACAGCTGAACGGATTTATCTTATCTTAGTCTTGAAATGTTCGTGGAGGTTCATGGAAGGTATAAAAGCTGAAAAAAATTGATTCATTACTGGGAAAACCATAAAAACAGCCTTTTTCTATTTCCCATACAAACGTTTTTTTTGACATTAGATTTGACAACTAACTAATATGTCAATCATTCTGTCGCACTTCAAAACACGGAGATTTATGGCTTACAGGTAAACTCCAAAAATATAAATAAAAAACGTAATGGATATTTCTTGATTATAGGGCGATACGAAGTTCGCCAGGTCTTCTAGTAGATAATAAAAATAACTACACATGAAAATTATTCTTTGATATTTTACAAATATACGAATGAAATACTTTATTATTTGACAGATAACATTTTAAAATAGATTTCAATATTTAGTAATGAAAATATCTCCTCACTGAATGAGATAATTATTTTGACATGATTGATAGTTCTAGACTTGATTGACGATGATACACATTTTTATTATATTATATAGGTCCCTATCGCAACGTCTTTTTACGTGTTTTTACTTGGGGAATACTTTTTGCCGACGGTATATTCTTCCAAAATATTTAGAAACTTCCTCATAATATTTTCATGTTTCTACTCTTCTCATTCCCATAAAAACGTATAACTCTACATATACATAATTTCCATCACATTTCAAAAATATTAATCTGCTAAAGGTTTTTTCAGTCATAAATAAAGAATTTATGATTTTCTATTTGGACGCTAAAATATATTTAAATATTTTAGAAGTACAGAAGAAGTTTCAAAGAATATTAAAAAAAGGGATTACCCTTAAAACTTAACACCAGCAAAATTCCTTTATTTTTCATTATCAATACTAG